ATATATAAATTTAACAATAAATAAATCTTAAGCATAGCAGATCACTGCCATAGCATAACCCAGAGACAAACTTGAAAGCTTAATACTTTTTTAAGTAACATTTCTGACTTAAAATGTGTGGACTTTCCTATCCCATCATGACACAAAAAATAAGCAGCTTTTTTTCCAAATATGATCTAAGTAAGACAATCCAGTACTAGGCTGACATCACATTTTCAGTATCATTACCCAAAATTGCAACATTAAGACATACTTCAGAAACATTGCCCTTGATGTCACGTCATCTTCCAGGGAACAAATAATACAGACAGCTTTACGTGTGCAATGTACTAGTACACAGAACAAAGTAGACTACTACATTGAATCCAGATTGAGACTGATACCGAAGAACTTCTACGTTTATTACTGTTCATGTCACCTAAACAGGCAGGGCATCCTTCTTTAGCCACACCAACACAAATGCTCTAATAGATGGATTATCAAACACGGCCTCTTTATTAATTTTTTTTAACCTGCATATAGAAGACATACAAGTCACATCACACACAAAAATTATTGGTTATTTAGTTAAAACTTGAGCACTTCAACATGTCATTCTGGTTTAAATAACAGAAGATGCATTGGCTTTTCCAATTATTTCAGTGGCCCATAAAATTTGTATCCAGTACTTTTACCTGTTCCTTAATGTCTTGTAACTGTTGTTGCAGCTTCTGTACATCTGCATTGACATTGGTGTTGTCTTTGTCTTTCTGCAAAACTGGAATGTTTCCACTTGCTGTAATTTAGAGAAAATAAAAGATACGTGACTATGCATCAGTCCAATGAAACAGGAATAACTATTCCCAGTGTACTGACTACAGTTTTTCCATTATCTGAAGTAATGTTACTCAAACATATTTGATAATCTAATTAAATTTACTGTGACATCACTGCAGCTCAATTCATAAAGAACTTCTTTGTGTTTAGCAGCCACACTTCTTTGACAAGTCCTTCCTCAATAATGATGCTCAACATGCCTGTAGACCCTTAACGTTCTCAGAGTTCTTATCTGACAGTGAAGTTCCCGGAATAAATTTCTTTGCATGTCAAAAATAAAAGCAAATCCTTTCGCACTGGAAAGACTTTTTATCTACACAGCTAATTCTCTTTGGTGAACCGCACAAGCATCTCAGAAGTAGTTTGTTCAAAAGTTGAACAAGCTCAGATCAATACTGCTATATTTGACTGATCCCAGCAGCAATGCTACTATAAGACAAGAGAAATAAGTAAGTATTTCTAATGACAAATTTTAAATTTCCGTGTGAGTATTAAAAACCTGATTTAAAAGATTATTCTTATATTTATCTATTGAGGAACAGTATGACAAGAATGATCTAATATTCCAATTCATATAAACTCAATTCAAACACTGCATACCACACATACAAAATAAGTACAAATAATATATAGAAACTGACAGACATCACAGGAAATCTAAAAACTAGTCAAATCAGGAGATGTAAAACTGAACAATGTCATGAAAGTTGCTTGTACCTAGATGCAAAATATTTACCATTCCTTTATCAACTAGGAGAGTTCCAGAAGTAAAAAAAAGATACATTTATTTGCTCACTTGCACAACTACTGGCAATTTTCAGCTCTTCCCTCATTAATAAGCATGCAAGAGACATACATGTTTCAGTTTCTACTCTGGATGTTGGAAGAAATCCTTTAGTGTAGTGACTGGTGTCACCACTGCATCTGCTGCTACCAATGTAGAAAGCTGTGCAAACGGATACCTGGCTTAACACTGTTTTTATTAAACTTTTCTTTAAAAACGAGAGGAAGGATTTAGGTCATTTAAAAGTATAAGAAGTTGGTGGGGGAATGTGAAAGAGAATGGGTTTTGGAGTCACTCACAAATATCATCAGTGGTATCTTCTGTACCTTTCCCTCCGCAGCACATTATGAAAGGCACTCTTCGCTCAACCACTGCCCGACACTGTACACATTTCTTCATCAAGCTTGCACAATCTGAGAGCACAGAGAAATATATCAACTCTAGATCCTGCTATTTCATTCTTCTTCCTTCATATCCATAAGCTTGTTTATTCACAACAGCTATATAGCAATGCCATAATAGAAATAACTACTTCTGTTCATCTTTACATGATTTTATGCAAAATCACACCTATAAACAATGTCACATTTGGGAATCAAGGTAAATCCATTCTGTTTATCTTCTTTTAATCTATTTTCAGTGAGCAGGCTCCTCTTTCTCCAAATGGATGTCTACTCCACAAGAATTACAGATATTAAAAAAAGTAAAATCACACACATTTGAAACCAGAATTTCCAAGAATTTCATCACTACCTTCATTTTCCTTTAGAATGATCTCATTTACTGTCCTAATGCTCCAGGGGCAAATAGCTATGTCTTCTTACAGAGCAAATCTGTATCTTTTGACATAAACCTAGAAAGGAGGCTATACTTCTTCTACAAAAGAAAAATGATTGTCTCACACATGATGAAGGTTACTGTCAATCAGCAGAATGGGTCCTGTAAACTACACAAATTTGAAGACTCTCTCTCATCCTGCTTGAACAAGATGTCCAGAAAATAATCTGACTTGAAGTCAGATTACTAATGAACTTCTAGCAATGTGATTAAAAATGTTCTGTTTCAAGACTACTTCAAAAAGAACTTCCCTCAAGTTTACTTACTCTCACAGGCACACATATGACCACAAGGCTGGAAAAGCACAGCTGCCTTTTTGTCTGAACACACTACACATTCTTCAATCTGTAAAGAACAATAAACATCCATATGAGTAAAGTTTATCACCTGCTCTCTACATTAATTTGCTTTTACATTTTTTTTGGCAAGGCATGTGGACTGTAAGAAGCTCCATCCAGTGTTGTTATTAAATAATTCAGCACCTCAAAATGCAATTTTGAGGACCTGTACAGGGAAGACATGAGTACAAGCAAACAGAAGAGAGTAACATATGACGTTGGAACAAGGTATCGTTATGATGCAAAATTAATTCCAACCAGTGAGACAAAATTAAGACAAAACATCGCTTAAAACATACTACACTTTTCCTTGACGTCTTTTGTTTTACTTTTCCATTAAAAACAGGAAGAGAACCAATAGACTTTGGAATTTTTTACCTTTGTCCTAGACTGAACTTGTTCTTTACAGATGAGGCATTTTTTCACTCGTGGTGAGCACAGAGAACATGTGGCAATGTGTCCACATGGGCCAAACAGAGTATCTCTCTTCATGTCTGAACACACCATACATTCTTCTAAGGTTTCAGAATCATTGTTGATCATAGATGGACTTCGGGAACCAACCTGGCCACTACAAAGAAACCTGCAGTCAAACTCATTTTAAGAAATATCAGTTGGCTGTATCTATATATTCCTATGCATTCAGGCATCACTGTATCACCATAAAGCAATCTGAACTGCATTTTCCCAAATGTACAGTTGACATAAAAGTGCAAGGTCACACACTCAGATAAAGACTGAACAGAAACAGGCCACACAAGTTAGAATAGCATCTTGTGAACGTAGAAAACCTTTCCCTCCCGTCCTAAGAGTTTACTTTATTGAGAGATGCACCCTGTAGCTTCAGAACTGCAGGTAACACCTTAATCTTGAATACACTTCCAATACTTAGCAAAGGACAGGTTTGTAGAACCACCCCCAAACTCGCACAGTGAATCCACCTCGGATCTTTGTTCTATACGCTGCTCACCCAGCAGAGGGAGCACGTGTTGAACCTAACCAGTTCATTCCTACAGCCCTCACAAGCCCATAAAAGGTGGCGAGAAAGAACAGCCACAGGGATGAGGCCAAGACAGACAGACAGACAGAAAGACTTTGAAGAAAATAAGTACCTTAAACACCAGGGCAGTATCAACAAAAATGGTATCTGTGACATTCTGAGAGCACATTTTTGATTTCCACAGAGGAATTAAGGAGGAGAATCACATGAGCACACATGATTCACAAATAGGTACAAAACTAGGACAATTAGAAAGCTGAAACTTCTCAAGCTATATGCACTTGATAAATGACAGTTCATTGAAATCATAATTCCTAGAGAAGTGCTTCTGAGACATCCAACTTATCCCCCCTCCTCTTTTTAGAGAATCACAATCATGCAGGGTGATAGGTACTAGCTCAAAGCAGAGTCAACACTTAATTCACACCAAGTTATACTGGGCTTTGCCTGTTCCAGTCTCGAAAACCTGCATGGACAGAGGTTTCACAACCTACCTGGGCAACCCTGTTGCAATGCTTAGTTATTCTTTCAGTGATTTCCATCCCCAACCTACCCCCTGCCCTTTTCTGGGATGGCTTGAAGTTCTACCAACCTCCACCTGCACATTCTCATCTTCCCATTCTCTTCCCTCCCATACTAATGTGTATGAAAGTCCTCTAAGACTTGTGTAAGTTTCTGCTAATGTATTTGTAAATAGCATTCAATGTATCACAGAAAAGAAAGAATTCACTGAAAGGCAAGAAGAAGCTTGTATGTTTAACACTGTTGCTGAAAAGGCACATTTTAAATACATCACAGTTAAACCATGGAAAGCAGAGACTTGGAAACTGCATGTTTTACATATACAAATATACAAACATACAAACCTGACTTTTTCTTTGTGACATTTAGCCAGTGCTTTGCAGAGACTAGGATCAGGGCAGAGATCGAGAGGAGACTGACCCTTCTTATTACGAATGCTGAGGTCAGCTCCGTTGGCTGCCAAGAAGCAAGCAATAGATGCTGCACTTTTCTTCTCTGCCCCCTGAGTGCCAAGTCCCATTATTAACTGAAAGAAAACAAATATGAAAGCAATTTGAGACACTCTTAATAGTTAGGAATAGTCTGGCTAAAGGAAAACTACTTAACATGCACACATGCACATACAACACACACATAAATCTGGAAGCCCAAAGAGGAGTCTCCAGCAGTAAAATCAAAACAATCGTGTTAGTACTGAGTCCATTATATTCAAGTTTCCTTTAAGGAACTTAAATTCAGCAAGTAATAGTTCAGATACTGAAGCATTTCCTGCACACCTATCCTCACTTGTGAAGTTGCTGTCCTACATGAGCACTGCAAAGTCCTAGTGGGTATATCAAGAATTCACTCTAAGTATACTGAAATTGCTGAGTTCAGCTACCATCACCACACTTGGACTGAAAACACAGTTGGGCAGAGAAACAAATGTGCACTTACTTTTAACCTGGTGAGTAAAGCACCTGCCCCAGAAAGACTTGATTTCAGTTGCCTTCTCAGCCTGGATGCGTTTAAACCCACATACATGTTCTCCCGTCCTAATAATGTAATGCTCCTTTGCTCTTTTACAACTACTACTACATTTCTGTATCAGTGTATCTATTACACGCTATTCACAAGGACAGGTAGAAAAATGGAAAGGCTCACTATGACAGCCAAGCAAGGAGAGTATTCACCTACTCTGGAGCATAACAGGCCTGCTCCCAACATCTTTCTGTGTTAAAGTGTTGAAGCTTAAGCAGATAAAATGCCTAACCATAATGGAGACTATATATAATATGAAACTTCTAGCACCACTACAAATCCCTCAGCAAACTACATGAGACTATATTCAAAGGAACAGGTTGGGCACGGCTCCAGTTCAGGGGGTTTTAAGTACTGAACTCCAGAATTATAAAGGCTTCAACACCAGGACGAAGGCAGGATTTTGCATGCACCTTTTTCCCATTAATTGATAGCAGTGCCCAACTTGACTGATGTACGCCTTTCTATGCCACTTTCAGTTTGTACCATCTATCCCCGCAGCTGGTCTTCTAAAAGCTAGGTTTCAAATACCAACACTAAAAATTTAGTAATACGGGCTGGTTAACAACCATTTATATTTAAATAACTAGATGAGCTATTTTAGACAGAGCGACATAAAGGAATAAATTTGAATACCAGATACATGTCACTGCAGCACTGAAGGTTTCATATTTTGAAGTCTGAACTACGAAGAAAACAGTTTTCAAAACCCCTCTAGTTATTTCCCCCATCCCTCAGACTTGTGAAGAAAAAGGCTTGGTTTGGGTCCATGTCTTGCAGCACATAAAGAATGTATTAAAAGTCTTTACCCTGCCTTGATAACTGCAAGATTATCCTTCTCAACACAGTTTCCCAGTGAAGCAATTTTTTTAAACCTCAGTCTTCATGATTTTGTCCAGTTAGGAGTTCTTGTATTAACAAGCATTACTGAGGTGCTACAATATTCTTAAAGGTCACTTCATGAGTTCAGATACTCACAGTCCTTTTGATGTACCCGATGATCAGGTAAGAAAAGTACAGCTTGAAAGACATCATATGAAGAAACCCAGTAAAAGTTATGGAGAGAAATTATTTTTTGGTGTACAGATCACAGAATATTTTTGTTTATAAATTCAGACTATTTTTCTGCACATCAGTTTAAAGCACTGGCTGAAATGAAGCGGAGATCTTACCCAGCTTCAGTCTACTTCCTTGAACCATGTCAGTATCCAGCCAAGGCAGCAGAGAGTTTTGTGAAAGCCTATTTGCCCTGAAGTTGGCAGAGTAGACATTTTTTTAAGGCATGGTTATACCAAACCATTTGCTACAGTCTTTCTTACTTGCTGGAACAAGAGTTCTCTTGCTATCCACGCTTGCATGTTATGGGCTCTAACTTGTCCCTGAATGAAACTGCTACTGTGTCTCCAAAAGGAAAATTTAACTCAAATAATTTCCTTCACACTTGGGAGTGGATATACACTATGCCAGGATTTGCTCCTCCACCTGGAACAGCCACCAACGTTATTCAGGAAAATCTTGAGTCCTAAAATGCCTCTGCATGCTGTATGCTTTGAGAACACCAGGACAATATCGCATCCCATGGCACTTCTCTGGCAGTCTGCAACATTTCAGGCATGCAGAATGAAAAAAACCCAACAAGCCATGAACAAAACCATCATGTTTTAGTGCCTAGTATGGCTGTAACCCTCCCCTGGAGGGTGATATCCCTGAGATGCACCAATATAAATCAGCCCCAGCCAATTTACCTGTGAGGGAGACATCTTGGTTTAATCCTCGCAAATGGTATAAATATCATCCAAATAATTTTAACTACTGAGCTACTTTTGAAGCTGTAAACACCTGATTGACATCCATTAGAAGGCAGGATTTAGGCAGTGGCACCATTTTGAATCTTAAAAGCATTTTAAGGGTCTGAAAGATACCTATGTTAAAATAAATTACACTAAGTGAGCTGGGGAATAATACATTTATTTAGGATAAGAAGTGTCCCAGACCAAGAACGCTGCCTCTACTAAACCAGCTGAAACTACTTTTTTTGTGGTGATGGGGACTGCACTTCGGAATTATTTAAAGAAATGGGGTTCAGTGCTCATTGCACTTTAACACACAAATGTTTTTCAGATTGATACCCAAAAAAGCAACTGAAGAAGCCTGACAAAAATTGGTTTAGGTATTACAACAACTTAATGTTGGCCTTCCGAAGGAACTAGTAAAAATTAATGCAGCTAAAAATCACTCCGTAGAATTCCATTTATGAAATAAGTTCATTCTATCAGTAAAGAGTATTGTGCCGTATTTTAAACCACAGTCAAAAGCAAAAAGTAACAAATGGTAGAATTTCAATGAAGCTGCTGTCCAACCAACTATCATATATGAAAACCATTTAAAATTCTGCAAGTGAAATTTATCTTTTTCAGTTTATTCAAGTGGAAAATAGAGAAGAAATTAATACTTGTTGAAGTACTATACTATGAAGAGGCACCTTACTTGACTAAGTAGGTTGATACCTTCAAGACAGCAGTCCAAAGGTAATTAAAATTTAGCCAAGCAAAAATGAGCTCTAAAATACTAATGATTTATCAGATTTGCCATCGCATAAGACTAAAGAAATCTGCCATGTTTCCCTGTCTTTAAAGGGATTAATAAAATAATAATAATATTAAAACGCCCCAGATTCCATCAATTTAACTTACGTCATCATATTCAGAAAAAAAAAACCTTACTGTTTTCCCAGACTACATCATTAATCCAATTTATCCTCTATTATCCATAATCTGTATTTGAAATTCTACACAAGACAAACTACAAACGCGTCCTTGGATAGCTCTGAAGGTCCAGATGCCTGCATGTATTTTACCAGCATAGATCCTGTCTTTTTTTGATACACAATTTTGGGCTAAACATGGCTTACCAGTAAAAGTGTTTACTGGTAAAATCTATTTTATAGCATTTTTACATTGCTTTTATTTAAATAAAGATAGCTCTAGGTACAAGAATTGTTCTCATTTACTACTTTCCACAAAGCAGTATTTTCAAGATCTTTTGATCTGCTGACCATCTTAAGGGTTTTCTGGCATATCTTAGCCAGGCTTTATTCCGTATTTTACATTTCAGCCACATCTTATGGTGCCACAGCATAAAATTAAAATAAGCAGGTTTTCACATCTTCCCCAAAATCTTCTCCACACCACTTAAATCTCCCAAATTTGTAGTTCTGCAGAACATTTCTCTGCAGCTAAACAAAGTGCAAAAGAATGACCGCTAGTTTGACCAAGCTAAGCTAGGAAGTACTGGTTCATTGTGATTTTTAAACACTAGAACACTTTCAGGTCGTCAGAGATACAATCATGCAGGGATTTTGTTTGTTTGCTTGTCATGGAGTCTTCCTCTACCCATTTGTAACTAATATTTTAACAGAAATAAACCAAAAGTATAATTTTTTTCTGAAATGGAACAAGTAGAAGAATTTCACTCTTTGGAACGCAAAATCCCCCAAACCCAAAATTTAAAAAAGCAGTAGGAAAAACAAAAGCCGCCTCTTGTTTTGTGTTAAACTCAAAACTCAACAACTCTAGTTTCATTGTAGATTCTACTAATAAGATGGGCAACAGAGAAACCTATTCATGAAATGCAGCATCAGAGCAAAAGTATTTATCTCCCGTTCACTCGTTTCACAATTAAATACATGCACACAAAGTATTCTGGCCACCTCTCAGAGTCCGTTTCAGATCATGGAAACAACTGAGTTGTAATCACTTTCCTCCTCTCACTTAAAAGGACACAAACGTGTTTGTACATATGCCAGTCTATTTTAAATCTCTTTTCAAAGTCTATTCCAGTGTATTTCAGCGAGATGAAGTAACCTGTCTGAAAAACATTTATTGTACAGTGGAATCACTGTTTTAAACAAAGACTTTTTAAAAAGTGGTGGTTTTTTTTTTTTTTTAATGAAATGCAAAAAACTTGCCACCCACAGATAAAATTAAAAAAAAAAAAAAAAAAATTACAACACTGATAACTAATGATTCAGCAAATCTGATCCTCTGTTACGTTTCTTTGTCTTTAAATATTAAAGACACACACATTGTTTGTTTTTCTCAATCCAAATCACTCCAGAATTTTATTTCTCCTTTGCTTTTCAGTAAAACTATAAATTTCATCTTTTCATATGGGGTTCACACAGCTTTTTGGGTGTGGGCATTTCTTTCAAGAAAACATTTTGACTTTTATTACTTGGTGTTTCTTTCACTATTTCCTTATTACGGCACAATTTCTGAAATGAACTCTGTCAGAAAGATACATAACAATGAACATATAAAGATTAGAATACCTTGTTCTAACAGAATAAAATTTCAGAAGGTTATAGAAGTAGTTAAACAATTAAAGCTACAAAGACATGCAAGATGTTGAATACCAGAGAACAATTTTAGTCTTATTCTGTACTGTAATACCGTTTCTCTTTCCTAAAAAGTTACTTTTGATTTCTTGGCAGCCTGTTCACTATGGAAGAGAGATTTGTAGATATATTTTGAATTAAATAACCTTATTTTTCTTTAACAAAGATAAATGACTACATGTGAAAAGCCACATATAACAATATGATTTCTGCCTACACTGCTGTTTAATGCAGAACGTCTTTGTAAACTTATGCTGCCGAAAAACAGTTCAACAGTACAGAACTAGACAAATAAAACAGACAAATTTACATGAAAAAGAAAAGGAATAAATAAATGCATTTTATTTACTGTGTTCTTTGATGGCTCCCAAGCAGTATCTACCTTGCCCACATCTTGCATGTCTTGAAGTTGGCGGAGCTGTGACAGGGTGTGGTGTCTCAGGGCTTCATGCAGGGGAGTATCCCCATCTTTATCCTGAATATCCAGTTTAGCACCTGCACGGACTAAGAGCTGAAAAGAGAGAGAACCCAGTTTAGAATTCAGAAAAAGGCTATTTATTCCTTTTAAAACTAATTTCAGGAAACTATGGTTTAGGATGCTCCAGGAGGTCCTAAAGGGTTATTCTTTTAATCTTGCTGTAATTCACAATTGAGTTTTTTAAAATTCATTTTCCATACTTTGAACTCAGCCTCAACTAATGCATTCATCTCTTTCAAATATCAAGCTTATTTCAGCAGAAAATGCTTGCCTGTGCTCTGAGGGAGTGCTACAAAAGTTGCTATGTTAGAGGTCCAAAACCTTTAATTCTTACAAGATAGCCTACACAAAATGTAACACATCACACCAATATATCAGAAACAGAACAAGTGGACAACACTTCAGATATGTTTATATTCTTAACTATTAGGTTTCAACTCCCTCAAAAAGCTGCCATGCTAAACATAATTTACAGTATCCTCACATTATCAAAGTAGTTAAGCATGTACTTAGGTTTACCCTTATTCAGCACAAGACATAAAACCCAACATCATTATTAAATACTATCTCAGAACACTTTGGAAGGTAATGAACTCTAAGACTCATCTTTGAGGCTAATTTTAGACCCATGTTCCAGGTCACATGACATGAAGGCAAGTGTAAGGCTGCACAGGCCCTCTTATTCATATTCCCTCTGCATCCAGCTTTCCCATAATTTGATGCACCAGAACTTTCTTAAACACGTTGTTAAACACAACAAATCACACATGCTGACAAGTAACAATTGCCCCTAAAAATCAAACTCCCTCACTGTCGCTATTCAGAAACCTGTAGATAGCAGCTGAGGTTTTAACTTTAGTTTTGAGCTTTTGCTACTCTGCAAAATTCAGATTAGCAGCAGAGACAAAAGGCATAGCCTAGAAACAGGAATACATGGAGGGGCATCTCCTTTTTCAGAACCCATGTGCTTGCAAAGATCTCAGAACTGAAGAACCTTGGACTTTACAAAAGGCTAAAAGGAAAATAGCTTAAAAGGAATCCAGAACTTATTTTTCAAGGAAGTTCCTGCCTGTGGTTGACTGCAGTTTACCATTTTTCCCAAACTTTTCTTCTGAAAGCAAAAACAAGAGAACCAGCTAATAGTTGCAACAGTCTTCCCCCAGCTTCTTACATTCTCTAGAGGGACTTACTCTGGCCCAAATTTTCTTTCTCATATTCATATCTTGTGCCTGCCACTAGCTATTTACTGCTTAAAAGAAAAAAATCTGTAAGAGAACTCTTTTCAGAGAAACCTGGAAATCCTTGGAAATTCAATGCCTCTGTAGGTGTTAAAAAAGAATAAAATAATAAAAAAAAATAA